ACTATCATGCCAATTGCATTGCAGGAAAACTGTTTATAGATTCATATAATGTATATAATAGCATCTTCTTCCATCTCCAGTGTTGTTTTGATCTGTTTATCAGTTTTCTTGCAGGCAAAGGCCTGACGGCTACGACAGAACTACATGAAATGTGACTACTTCATCAAAAAATCAAAATATAGCCATTTTATGCATCAAAGTGCTCTTCAGCCTGTTATATGTATGTATCTAAGGATTAAGCAACGAGGAGTCGTGCATTATACGGTTTGAATGCACTTAGCGGAGTAACAGCATTCCGCTTCGCGTCTGTTTTAGAATCCGCTGCATGCATTCAACCCGTATAATGCACGGCTCCTCATGTTTAATCCTTACATATATAAACTGTACAACACAGACACAACTCATAGCTGATAGGTCATCTTATGTCACAACAACATTTCACCCTGAAAAGATAGGCACAGTATAAAGGTCTGCTATAATAATAATAACTATAATAATAATAATAACTATAACAATAACAACAACAATAATAAAAACAACTATAATAATAATAACAACAATAATAATGACAATAATAACAATAATGATGCGTTTTAGAATACATCTTCGTGGTTGCTATCCCATTCATTAAGTCAGTACTGCAATACAGATAAGAGATTTTCTAAACAAAATAATGATATCTGAAACATGGTCCAATGCAAGTGGCTCACATAGGAACTGATGAAGTGCATTTCTGATTTTTGAGGCAGATTATCATCTTAAAACGTAAATTAAATGTTCAAAAACACACGTGTGCAATGCAACAGAATCAAAGTTATGGCATCAACTGTTCCCTTAGTCCAAACACATGTAATCCACATTATCCCAAGAGGGACGTAACATAAATCAACACTGATATTAAAAAACATATTAACTGTGCAGTTGTGGTTGTCAGTTCAGCTCCTGCAGTAATAGTTTTATTTTCCTGAAGTTGTTGAAAGGCTCATTACCGCCCTCTGATGTAAAGCTTCAGGACAGAGGTTTGATGATGGAGGAAGGCGAAACGAGGAGACCAGAGCAGAGGATGTGGGCTGTGGAGGCGGTAGAGCAGCTACACTGATACTGGCTCTTTCCTCAGGATCTACAGTGTGTGTGCTGGTCCACCATGTAAGAGGTTGGTTTGTTCATAGACACATGTCAGAAAGGGAACATTGGCTTCTGTTTACAGATCACAGTTCAGATTCCATTTCAGTTGATGAAACTGTTGGACAGCTTTGGGGACAAGCGCTTATTTGCTTTTTTTTGCAGAGTCAGATGGGAAATAATGCCACTGTCACAGATGTACGGTTCGTATTTGCTTAGCATAAGACCGGAAACAGGGAAACATTTAATGGATTGCTGTTTCTTGGTTGAGACTAGCAGCCTCTTAATCTCACATAGCAAGACCCCCTGTAGCACTGACACAGCATCTTTCCACCACAGGGACCATACGGGGGTTCTTACAGAAGAAAAGGTCTTGGGAAGTTCTGAGAATGGGATGCTCAGATGATAGTCACTCGCTGTAGTGACGGGGGAACCCTATTGGTGGAACATTTGCAGAACTGGACACTGCTGTTTAGATGGATAATGAACCGGGCTGCCCTGCTGAATGATCCAAAGCTTCTGCAAAGCATGCAAGAAAACAGCTTGTAGGTTGTTTCCTGGAGGTGCTGTGGTTTTCCACAGTGAAGAAGCTTTTCAGAACGATGGCGTGTAGACAAGCAGGAGCTGTATGAAGTAAGAATCGACCGATTATCGGCCGGGCCGATTATCGGCGCCGATATTTGGTATTTCGAGGCATATCAGCATCGGCCTTTTTTGATGATCCCACGGCCGATATGAGATCAATTTAAAACTGGGTTATTGTGGCTCTGATCATGCAGCCGCGGCTCTGTCGGCAGCGTTGCCCCGCCCCCACAGCGTTGCCCCGCCCCCACAGCACCACACACAGCGGGGAGGAGAAAAGGTTCTGCCCAGTGGGGTGGGGAGGTGCAGAGATCTATATTTATAAAGTAAGTTAAGGCAGCAGACTCTGTTGAAGTTGTCATAAACATCCAGTCCTCTACAACTCACAGCTACCAGTAACTCCACTGTGAGCCCAGTAACGGTATCGAAACATAAGCGGCAGCTCCGC